TGTACAGCAGCAATTTCCCTCCTTATTTCATTTGACAATGAGAAATTACACCCAAAATTGACCTCTAGTTTTAGATGTATTTAATCCCAAAACTTGAAGTATACCAAAAAGAGATACTAACTTTGAAAGCCTCCTAACATTTCTTTCTAGGACTAGCAAAAAAATAAGGAGTTAGTTTTCCAAACATTTCTACAATGACAAAACAATCAAAACATGATTACCATTTAAAATTAACAAACCAGGCTTTTCTTCAGTTCTCACTAGCTGATTTGTCTTTTTGGGTTCAAACTGCAATTATAGCTTCCCTCTCTTATTCCCGATACTCCTGCTTTATGCAGCCTACTCTTTGGCAGGTTTCACACATTTCTAGATACACCATGGAATTAAAACCAATGCTTAGAGGTCTTAACAATATTCTGCCTCATCAAATTACCATCATCTTCTGTCAAAACAGGGAACAGTAGGAAAAGTGTGTTTAAGCTCTCTGAGCACAAAATATCTGGAAATTTGGTTATAAGTCACAAAAGCCCAGAACAAGCATTTCTTCTACAGTGCTCTCTGAATTTGAAGGAGCACTGGGAGATTAAATCTCCCTTTCTCCAAAAGCTGAAGGTGGTGTGGCTTTTTGTTTTGGGTAGAGGGGGCTTATTGTTAAGTTTGGGTGTTATTTTGTTTGAGTTTGGTTTGGGGGGGGGGGGTGTCTTTGGTTTATGGGGTTTAGGGGGGTCTGCTTGTTTGCTTTACATTTTTAATTCTTCTATGTTACTTTCTTTAAATGTATTAAAGACTTTCAGAAATAAAAGGAATTCAAGGACAAATGATGAAAGTGATTACAGGCTTAGAAAGAGAGCCACATGAGGAGCGATTATTAAAAAGACTGCCTCATTTCTAGACAAGATGAATGGGAGGGATCATAAAAGAGATGGAAAATGAGAAAACACATGTCACACAATGTTTTTTCACAAGTAGAAAGCAAGTGGACTTCATATTAATTTTTAATGTAAGCCTTTTTGTGTGTTTGATCACGTAATAATCAGTTCATCTATAAAACACTGACTCTATTGCTAGTCGCACTATGGCTGAAAGCCCAGAAAGATTGGTATCACAATTCTCTATCTGTTAATAAATAAACCATGTGTGCTCAAGGTAAGATGTTTTGGGGTTTTTGTTTTTGTTTTAAATAAAGGAAGAATTCTTACCATTTCAAATGTAAGTCTACTGCTAATAAAGAGAAAGTTTTGAATAGGCTCCAATGTGCAAGAAATTACATAATTAGGAATTGCTGTACTTCTTAAAGCATCTGGTACTTGTTAAAAGCAGGAGTTATCTCCGCATAGACGTCTGATGAGATGCAGCAAAGGAACTCATTTAGTTGAATTTAACTTTAGTTGAAAAGATAAGTCATACATACACATTTATAATCCTGATGAAATGTGAAGGTGAAGGATTTTTGCTCTGCAAGGGGCAAGTGATCAAGAGTGAAGAGTGATGCCCTGATCAATACCAAAACCAACTGTGTATACAGGTTCCTGAGGTCTAAATAAGTCAATCTGGTGAGCATTCAGAGATGACAGCTTTAATAGAAGCTTGAAAGGCTGACACAAAGCTCTAGAAGCAAAAGTCAACACAATGAGGCATAAGTTAGCACATCCAAGCTAGTCTGAGCATAGGGAGTGTTACTATTGGCATTGCATAGACCTCTGCGTGAACTCACTGTCCAATGAGCACAATGTAGACAGAATCTGAGCGCCTGCAGTCTCCTGCAGTACTCACTGCAAAAACAAGTTTCAAGAAAGCACCACAATCCTCTAGCTGTCCTGCATGCTACATTCCAGCAACAGCACCTTGTGCATGACAGCTAAAATTGCAGCCTTGGTTCTCCTGCTTCATGGCGTAGGTCCCGATTTTGAAAGATTTGGATTAGTTTTCAACTAGTAGTAGATGTGAAGCACAGTGAAGCTGGCATTAGCCCAGAAGAGCTGCAACATTTCACACAGCTGTCTGCCCACCCTGGACCACCTGTACCACCAGTGAGCTGCAGGAATCCAGATTACAGTGACCAGATATTACTGACAAGGAGAGACAGGGAGGATTTACCAGAACCAAGGGTAACCACGTAACTGTAAGTCTACACCCACCACATAATACCAGAACTGTAAGGCACTGATGTCATTACACTACAGGCAACGGCAGTTTTATTCTACGCTCTGTGCTGCTGTGAACAGCATAGCTTGGCTCTCTTGTGACCTGTCTAAGGAGGAGAGGAATCCAGCCTCTCCCCCAAAATACCTGGCCTCTTTAGGCATCACTGACACCCCCCCAACCCCCAGGTAAGAATGACTCAGCTGTTCTTCGTTAAAATATTCTGTCTCTTTCAAGCACTGGGAACTTTGCAGAAAATGTGGCACACGGGTCATTGGAGAGTTGGTAGCAGAGCCCAGAGTATCTTTGCTGTAGCAAAGAGAAAGGTATCGAACAGACCTGTTGACATGCAATGAAAGAACTTTTTAGCTGCAGCAGGAATTTCAAAATCCTTTCACCCCTCTGATTCTACTATTTTCAAACTCTGATGGCTATATTCACAGTCAGCACTTCTGCAAACTGAATTTGATGATGCCCTCCTACAGCATAAACAGCTGCAATTTTGGAACTGTCTTCTTGCCCGTCCATAGAGAAGGCTTCACTTTCTCATAAGAAAAATCTTTAGATGGGCTTGAAAGACACAGGCAGTAACCTGCAGGGCTGGAGAAGATCTTTAAAAGCCTCGCACCTAAAAATTGGACCCAGTAGCCTGTTATACAGACTATGGGATGCAGCAACTTTGACACCTCTCTCTTCCCCAGGCTTCACTAAATGGCTCTCACTCTGCGTACTACACACTGTCCCTATCCTGCTGACACAACCAACTCCAAGACCTTCTTCACATAAGCAAGTCTCTCTACTTCCTTCGTTCTCTGAGCATCCTCCCACAAGCTCTGTATTGCTGGTTTTATGCTCTATGCTGCTTTTGCCCCTGAATGTTTGGGAATGGCAGTTTTAATTCCAGCTGCTCTAAGGCTTTTTAGTCAGTTGCTAAAAGAAAAACAGCATTCTGCTTTCTTGTTTCTTTTCTACATTATATCACCAGTTGTTACTGCTCTGGTGCATGACCACTTCCATTCCCCTAGTTAAAGCAGTAAGAGGAATGCTGAAGTTATCCAACCAATTTACCCCTACTTGTCTGGAATAAGCACAAATAGATTTAATGCAAGCTCTTGACATTATCTGGAAACTGCTCCTACCAGATCTAGCAATTATTTTGCTCTGCTATCAGTTTCTTACTCTGTGATATCTGGCACAACTTGTAAAGCCCAAACCCTGGAGCAATGCAATTGCATATAAGTCTATGAACTTGTTACAGACTTAATCCAGTTCTCATGGTAGCAGGAAGGGAAGGAGCAGCTAAACCTGGTTAAAAGAAAGCCCAAATCAGACAGAAACCCAATGCTTTTGTGAAATTGTCTTAAGAATGATATTTCTTTTATTTTTCAATACACAAGTACAATACGCAACACTGAAATTAGCCATAATACTTCATGCTTTTAAGTAGATAAACTCGAGCAGACTTCAACTCTGCAGTACACCAGAAGGCATCCTTGAAGGTATGCAACTTTCTTCCATGACTAACTACAGTAAGCTGGGTAGCATATTATTCTTACAGCTAGAACAGTGAAGAAAACCTAATCAGTTCAGCTTTCAAAGAGAAAACCAAAGGAAAGACAGAGACCTTTTAACTGGGTTATGACTAGCATGTGCACCCAGTTTATGTATGAAGAGCACTGCAGACTCCAGTAGTAAAGCTACACTGTATACTGCCTATTTTTAAACCGTTTCATTATGCAGCAACAATCTGAAGCACACCATCTCCTTTCCAGCACTGTCAATCAATGGGCTGTAGGGATAGAAAGTATTGCCAATGTGCAGTGGGGGGGTGTGGATAAATAAAGCACCAAAATGCACCCACCCCCGAAAAAAAATAAACCCCCCAAACCAGTCTTTCTTCACAATCAGCTAATCCTACACTTCAAACTGTAGGGCTCATTTATTTACCAATGCAGAATCTCAGCACAGAACACAGAATTTCTGCCAGTATCACACAAGAGCAACCTCCTTTTCTACACATCTTCCTGTACTGCATGGTAAGAAAACCCCATTTTTTTTACACCTGCTTGAACTGAGAATTTAGGTAAGAATTTGAAATCTGTGCATTAATAAGACAGCTACCAGCACTGGAAGGATATTCACCATAAAGGCTACTAGACACATGAAAGGATTGACAGAATTGCCTATACGTTTATCTTACGCTGTATGAGGCAAAATATCAAAGTAGTAAGATAAAGATGAACTTTCCAGCAGACCAGAAGAAAAAATTGTCCCATAAAGCCCTTAAGTCACGAGTATACAGTAAATTCTTATTTCATCCCCAGCACACACAGATACACCTTTTCTGCTGATACCCATGCTTGCCACAGCCCTCTTGCAAGTAACTTCATGAAGGGAACTGTAATCGTTCTCTGCTGCTAGGTACAACCACCTGATCCACAGTTTACTAAACAGACCTTGAGAAACTAGACCAAAACCAAGTATTCACCAGTGTAATCCAGACACAGTCACTTCATCAAATCATCAGCACTGTTGACTTTGGTGAGTAAGTTCTGTATTACTCTCACTCCAAACAGTTTCTGCTGTGGCTCTATCTCGAACACTGGTTTCTGTCATGTCAACAACCCGTTTCATTTAATCTCCCTGCACCGAAGAGTACTCCAAAGTCGGAATACGAGAGAAGCACCGATAAAAAAAACTTCCTTATAGACAGACGGACAACCTAGTAAACACGGAGATCTCTTGGGGAACACGCTGCAGGTCGGCGGCTGCCTCTCAGCACCCAGACCCACCGAGCAGCCTCGCCTCCTGTACGCGGGTGTCCTCGGCAGCCCTTCCCGTGTCCGCACACCACTTACCCGCGTCTTGCGGCGCCGGTGCCTCTCCGGGTCGGAGTATGTCCTGTCCACGGCCAGCGCCGTGTCGCTGCCCGGCATGCTGCCCTGCTGCTGCCGCTGCCTCCTTCTCCTCAGCGGCGCCCGCCTAAACCCTGAGCGCACGTACGAACCCCGCCGATGGCCGCCTAAACGGGACTGATTGGGGTCGGGGCCGCAGCCGCCGCCGTGCGGGAGGGACCGGCACGCCCGGAGGGAGGGGAGAGGCGGGCCCGCCTCTCCCCTCCCTCCGGGCGTGCCGGTCCCTCCCGCACGGCGGCGATGGCCGCTGCTCCCCTTCTCCTCAGCCGGCACAGCCGGGTTAACCCCTGAGCGCTCCGGCTGCCGCCGAAAGGGGCGAGGCTGGCGGCGGCCGCGCGTTGTGGCGCCTATCGGTCGGGTAGAGAGGGAGTTGGGGCTGTGGTATTTCCTCCCCCCTCCTTCGAAACACGGAGAGTATCTGAGGGGTGAAGAAGGTGGGAACAAGCTTCAGCCAGAGGGAATGGGCCATAAATCGCGCTTGTTTTGAATTTAGTTTTAATTTGGTCTGAGGGCTGGAGCACCTCTCCTATGGAGACAGGCTGAGAGAGCTGGGCTTGTTCAGCCTGGAGAAGAGAAGGCTCCGGGGAGACCTTAGAGCAGCCTTTCAGTATCTGAAGGGAGCCTACAAGAAATCTGGAGAGGGGCATTTTAAAAGGGCATGTAGTGACAGGACAAGGGGTAGTAGCTTAAACTGAATGGGAGTAGATTTAGATTAGATATTAGGAAGGAGTTCTTCACCAAGAGGGTGCTGAGGCAATGGAACAGATTCTCCGGAGAAGCTGCAGCTGCCCCATCCCTGGCAGCTTTCAAGGCCAGGGTGGATGGGGCTTTCAGCAACCTGGTCTAGTGGAAGGTTTCCCTGCCCATGGCAGGGGGGTTGTAACCAGATGACCTTTAAGGTCGCTTCCAACCCAACCCATTCTGTGATTCTATGAGTTTTGAACACCAATGCTTCTGGAGGCTGGGGGAAAGGAACAGGAGCTGGGGCAACAATGACCTCCCACAGGTATAGATGAACAGAAGGGTGACAGCCCCATTCCTCATGCTGACAGTCACTGGTTGGTTCAGGCTTTTTCCTAAATCTTCAGCTCTTGGAGCGGTTTGCATCAAGCAGTCATCTTGACTTCCATTAAGAGAAACCTAGACCCCGTGGCTACAGCAAAACCTGACAAAACCCAGAAAATCCTAAGGGCTCAGAAGTCCAAACGGCAAAGAAAGACAGAAACCAGAAGTATTAAGTATGTTGTTCTTTTGCGGCAGACTCACTTGAAAGGTTTTGACTGTTTGCAGCAGCATAAAGCACTCTGGATGCATCTGAGTGCTGCTGCTGGAAAGCCCTTGATACCTACAAGTTTCAACAACAAGCATGTACAAAAATTCTGTCAAACCAACTAAATAATCAGGGTCTACATTTTACAATGGGGTCAGTGGAGCACAACAACCAATTCAGGCTCCACTTCTGTACATTACACATACGAAATAAATCCTTCAGTGGCAGCTTCACACCATACATATGAACACTCAAGGAAAACTTGTTTTGGGGGCATGTGTATGCCAATGCACTTAAATTCCTAAGAGTTGAGTGGAGTTCCTGGCTGGTTTTTGCACTTATCTTGAGAACACCTATGCTGAGGAACATATTAAATCAGTACCACTTACATAATTTAATCATAAACTACTCAGAAGTATAAGTAGAATACTGGTTTTATAATCACTCAGGAACCTGTACAGGAAGTTTACTCTTTTCTTTCCTGGAATAAACAGAAAAGTTGAGTTACTACTTCTACCTTGTTACATGAGGCAGTAATATGGAGCTCCTTCAGACTGAGTCCCTTGCAATAGCAGCAGGATTTCACCTTTTAGGTACAGTTGTTACAATGCCCATGCATGAGTCTCGCTGCTTTTCTTCTTGAGCTGGAGATGGCACCAGTCCCAAGGTATTTGCATATATAGACATACATAATCAACACAGCTAACTATCCTAGGGGGGGCTTGCAGCTCTTAAAAAAATCCCTGCCACCATTTACATGTTTATTGGAGTCCTATGTTCTGAGATAACACTGGGATTGGAGGTTAATTATCTGACCCAAGGGCTTCCTTGGTGTTTGCACGTAATGTGGTCTTCAAAAATGAAAGACCTGAAATTCCAAAGCAAAAATAAGGTCCTAGACCTCACCTGGCAGGTGTTTCTTCTTTGATTTTAAGACCATTTCTTTACAAAGTTATCCCAAATTAAGCACCAAGTGGGCTTACTAAGGGAAGCACTATTTGCCCAATGCAGTATCAACCAAACAACACAGGATACCGCACACAGACAATGACTTCTCATGCAGCTGAACGAGACAGCTTAAGTTGGAAAGCTACTGCAAAAAAGATTTAAAATGTGAACTGAACTTCTTCAGTCCTTCAGCTCAGACATGAAAGTTAATTCATTACTCAAAATGTGCCAGAGGGTGGGGAATTCCAGAGGTAAAGGTCAGTAAGAAATTCAGTAGGCAAATGGAGGTTTGGGGTTTTCATTGAAGTCATAATTGCACATTTCCAAAGGGAACTGTGCAGTTTCCAGGACCTAGGATGAAGTTTCCTTATTCCTCAGATACTTTGGGGAGTGTTTTTAAGCCTTGCCAGGTGTAGTTGATCAAAGCATAGAGAGGGAAGTAGTTGGAAAAGGGGCACATCAAAGTCTTTGGCTGCTTGACTCTTCAGTAATACAAGGCTTATTATAAATCATGGTTCAGTCAAAAGTTTGAGAGTTTTATTTTAAATATAAATTTTATTTAAATAATACCAGCAGGGACGTGCAATATATATTTAGAGGTGTATCATGTGTGGCTGAGCTAAGTAGGCTTACATATGAATACATTCATGAAGAAAACACTCCTAACGTAGTTTCTAAGAAGAGAGGATAATACAGTTAGTCTCATAATACCTAGGTGCGGCACTGGTCACACCTTCCAGTCAAGCCTGTGGATCTGTTTGCTTGGGTGCTGCTCTCAGCAGCAGCAGTTACTGCTATGCATACCAGCAATGATAGCTCTAATGTCCTGTGCCAGCAGTGAAAACCCTGCACTGGCAGGTTCCTGGAGGAGCTTTGACCACGGGCAGCTGGCTGGGTGACTAGGAACAAGTGCTGCACATGGCAGTGATTGATGGTGAAGGAGAAATAGCTCCCTGGGTAGAGGCACGGGTCCCACAAGTCAGGAGAGCCCTTCAAAGACAGTTAGAGAGCTGGAGCACCTCTCCTATGGAGACAGGCTGAGAGAGCTGAGCTTGTTCAGCCTGGAGAAGAGAAGGCTCCGGGGAGAACTCAGAGCAGCCTTCCAGTACATAAAGATCTAAGAGAAAGCTGGAGAGGGATTTTTTGCAAGGGAATGTAGTGAGAGGACAAGAGGGAATGGCTTTAAACTAAAAGAGGGCAGATTTAGATTAGATATTAGGGTTGGAATTAGATTATTCAAAGCAGGTCTGTCACATGGAGCCTGAGCTTTCTGCAGATGACTCCTGTCTCATCTCCAAAAGCTATGTCTTTGCCATCCATTTCATGCTGCATGATCCTGCTCAGCAGACACAGCAGTCCCAACTGTAAGCCATGAATTATCTGTACTGATTTATGTGTAGGCCATGGAGGGAGAAGTAGCGGCAGTGCAACAGTGGGATTACTTAGCAAACCCCAACTCCCACACAGTGTAATCCCGTAGATGGTGTTGTACACACACACTGGGGAGTATCACAAGAAAGGAATCCTCTATGGAGATGGAAGGCATGCAAATTCTGTTATTAGGAGACTGGCTTGAGGTTTATCCCCTTCTCTTTCCAGTCTTATCATGAATCTGGATCTTGGCAATTTACTTGGCTTCTTTGGACCTCCACTACCACATTTGTAGAAGAAGAAGCACAGCACATCTTCCTGCAGAGAACCTTGAGCTCTCCGGAATTAAAACTTCTATTATTAAATGTTGTTTTCTGATGTTTATTGGGAGGAATTAAACATATGATGTCAAGAGCATATTGTCAAAGGTACAGTCAGGAAGAAGGCGAAGGTCCCTTTTTCCACAATGGTAACATTTGTTCTCTAAACAGGATACTGGGGCTTCTTCTGAGAGAGATTTTAACATGCCCTCCAAAGCTTTTTCCAAGAGGTTGTAGTAACTAGCCTCTGGGGAAAAGGTCTACGTGTTGACAGTCACCATGCCATTTCTAAGTCTGACAGCAAATGGGACAGTCCTGAGTGACGTCTGTCTTGCAGTTATCCGTGAGCCCACTGTCATGGTTCTCAGTTTATCTGCCAAAGCATGAGCCTTTCGCACCCACAGGAAAGGAGATACTCTGCTTGTCTGTACCCAGCACGAACTACCAAGGGATCACACTGACACAGATTGCACTGGCTCTGACGTACATTCAGAAGATGTTGATAAACATTCAGATCTTGAACTAAAATTTGACATCACCTCCTCTGCTCCCTCGTCCTCTCCTCACTAAGAAATATTTTGTGTGCTTGCAGGATGTGAAAGACATGGGCACTCTGTGAATACCCATTTTCTACACAGGAAAAAACCTTCCAAACTAAGACTGCCATTGTGTGTTACTGAGATACACTGACAGGAGTTGAAGGATAGAGAAGCAAATGGAAAATTCCAGTTGAACGTTAACAGTTCTCCCTTTTCCTCCTTTCCCCTGCCTATTATCTTGTGTCCCTTGATGTCTGATGAGAGGCAATGCCAAGCCCTTTCCTTCTGGTACTGCATATGAAATTTCTGCTACATAATTCCTCGTTGCTGCTGCTGAGTGACAGCCATAGTGCAAACAGAACCGACAGGATGGTGGCAGTCTTGTGCATTTCAAACGCTGTGAATAAGAGCCACCTTTTTAGCAGACTTGAATGCTAGCTGTTCTGTGTACCCAAGAACTTGCCTGGAGCCCAGCTATTTACACTAAAGATGACCCATGTTGCAGAGGCGAGTACAGAATTCTCCCTTGGGCAATGTGAATGGTTGCTGCTCACCAGCTTACAAATATTCTTCTGCCTCACAGTATGCGATTTGGGGCTGCTTAAGTGTATGCAGCCTGTCTCTCCTGAATCAGCCACTTTGGTATTGCCATAAGGTATGCAGGACCAACAGATGCAGCCTCTTGGCACATAAAAGTG